CATATCACGAACAAGCTCATCATCATTCATTTTAAAAGAATCATAATTTTGTTTAGCTAGACAATGTTTTTGCTCATGGACATTAGTTGTGCCGTCATGGAGCTCTTGGAGTTTTAATCAAATTTTATGTGCCGTATTTAAAGTGAACACTTGGTTAAACGTATCCATGCTAAAAGATTCAAACAAGTAATTTTCAGTTCTAGCATTAAAATGAATTTCTTTTTCTTCACTCTTTATGGGTTTATCGAGATTCTTAATGGGTTTCATCCCGTCACGAGTGACTCTCCAAACACCCAAATCTACTGCCTCAAGGTGACAAGCTATTCTAGCTTTATAGTAGAGGAAGTTAGTGTCGTCAAAGTGCGGAGGCCTAGAGGTATCCATCCCAACCACTCTAAATAGCGTCGACTCAACGACGGTGAAGCCAAAGGTCCAAATTGAGCCAACCTGCTCTAATACCAATTGAAAGAGACCGTGATGTCTAAGAGGGGGGGGTGAATTAGATGACTTAAAATTCTACTTCTAACTAAGGCCTCTAATTTCACCTAGTCAAAACTTATGCAGTAAAGTAATATAACTAAATGTGCAACTACGGTATTGCTAGGCGTATTGCTATCTCTATCGTAAAAGGAGTTATGCAACCTAGGTTCCAATCCTATCAACTAGCCTATTACTAAGCTAGGAAAGTAAAGCACACACCAATATTGTAATGTAAATGCGAAAGCTAAAGAGTAATGTAGAGATATGCAAACTCCCGTCGACGGCTCTGGTATTTTTACCGAGGTATTGAGAAGCGCGTAAGCTTCCTCCTAGTCCTCGTTGGAGCCCCTCGCAAGGGCCAAGCTTCCGGTCGGGTAAGTCCATGGATAGTCTTGGGCCTTCCCCACGTGCAAGTGGGTCTCCGACGTGCCTTTTGGTAAGCATCTCCTGGATGTTCCCCGCCGTCTTCACTATCAAGCTTTCAGCCAAACCGCCGCGGGCTTTGTTCCCTTCAGTAGACGGTGGCGGCCACACCACAAACGCGGTTGGTGTGATCTCGTAAGACTACAAGCTCCTTCGATGTATAACTATGGTGCGCGCAAGCACCGAGTGATAAGAGGTATGCAAACCTCACTAAACACTAGGCCTAAACCTAGAGCAAGCGCATAAGCGGTGGTCTAATCAACCTAAGCACTTCGCAAAACATCTACGCTAATCACATAATGAATCACTAAGCACTATGCAAGTGGAGATCACTAAAATAGTGTATCAACATCCTTGGTATGTTTCCTCAACTCTCTACGTCTCAAATGGCCGGTTGGGGGGGTCTATTTATAAGCCCCACCGAGAAAGTAGCCATTGGGGGCGAAACTCAGCTTTCTGCTATCGACCGGACGCTACTTTCATCTTGACCGGACGCGTCCGGTCGTACCGACCGTTGGGGCGCGCGCGTTGATTGGACTCTGGGCCGAGTCTGGTCTCACTAGATCGGACGCGTCCGGTCGCGCTGGCGCCGCTCTTGAACCTCTCTGGACTCGATCGGACGCCACTGCCTGGGGAGTCCGGTCGTCCACAGTTGCTGTGTCCGGTCCTCACTGAGTTATTGCCGCGACGATGAGCAGCGAAGTTCGTGCGTCCGGTCACTGCTTCGCTCAGCGTCCAGTTGCTGTTGCTGACGCCTGCTGTTGCCGAGCAACTGATCTGACGCGTCCAGTCCTCATAGGGCCTCGTCCGGTCATCTCTGCCGAGCTCGTTTTTCTGCGATCTTGCCTCCGGCTTGGTTCTTATCTACGTGCTTGGATTTTGCTTGATATATTGAGTCTTGTCTTGTGCTTCTAGGGTCTTGCTTATAGTGTTGATCGTGGGATCATCATATCGTCTTCGTCCAAGTCACGTCTTGCACTCTATTGAACTACAAAAATAATTACTTGTAAATTTATTAGTCCAACTTGGTTATGTTGGTCATCAAACACCAAAATCCAAAGTAAATTGACCTAGGGTCTATTTTTCTTACACACCCAATATATGTGGATTGATACGAATTCGACTATATCCAAACAGGACCTTTATGTTTTTATCAAAGTAGGTGTTCCACTTCCACCACTAGCAAATTGTAAGCTATGCCTTACTCTTATATTTGACAGACGCCACGACCTCAGATACATATGGTACCGTCTTATACCATTCCATTTTATGCCATACTCATTGATTGATGGCTTCATTGACATGTCTTCTCATCGCTACGACCTTGATATATGGAGTCACATCCTATACCATCTTGTACAATTCAATTTTATGTCATACTCACCCGATTGATGGCTTCATTGGCATTTCTTCTCATCGCTAGAGTTTATGATGCTCGCTATGTGGATTAATTTTTTTTTTTTTTTGTTGCCCGAATAATGCTGTGACCTCAAGCTATAGGCTCAACAAGCCTAGTATAGAAACGCAAATAGTAAGATTAGACATATAATGTAGTAATGTAGACTTGGATTGTTACTAGCATATTTTTTTATGAGATCCCCCAACCATTGTAAAAAAATTCTTTTTTTATAAGTATCTTATTTAGATAGAGGCAATTGAGAGCCACCTTCACGGATCAGCCTTCCGATGTATTTGATTACAGTGAACATGTGAATTGTGATCTATGCATGTACAACAAGATGGGTGCATGTAGAAAAGATGTCTAAGATAATATAGATTAATACTCTGGGTATCTCACTAAAAACCTTTTAGGTACACTCTTTATTTACTTACTTTAGTTAGCACAATAATAGAGGCGCTTTTTTGTGATCACTAAAGTAAAATTACTTGTTAAACTAATGATTTTTAGATATACTCTTTATTTACATAATTTTTAGATATACTCTTTATTTATATACTTTAGTTAGCACAATATAGACTAAGCACATGCCCAGGATGGCATCTCCAAAAGTTCTTTAAAAATTACTTGTTAAACTAATAATTGTGTCGAGTAAACAAACCAAACAGGGAGCCATATTATTATTGTCTTTCTTGTTTTTTTCCCAATAGTTAGCCTTTTGAAACTCAAAAATTGGATGAGAGAGAGAGAAAACCAGCGTGACAACGACGGTGGAGGGCGTCCGGACAGATAGCATTGAATGCACATGCATATTTGTAAGTTGAGGGATGGATATATCAAATGTTTATTTTCATAGAATTCAGATAAAAAATTATTGAAGGGTTGGTTTTTACAAAAAAAATGAACTATGAAATACTCCCTCCGTTCTAAATTATAAGTCGCTTTTTTTTTTTTTTCATCTATTTTTTTATGTATCTAAACATAATATTATATCTAGATGCACAACAAAATGGATATACCAAAATAAGTCAAAGTGAGTTATAATTTAGAACGGATGAAATAATTTTAAGGAGCTGTTGAGGTACTCTAATCTAACATGTAAATAAAATGAGTATAACCTGGTTGTGTAGTTGTGTGTGCGTGCATCTTATCCGATCACATCTAATAGACCAAATTTTGCTCTAAATAAAACGGAAAATACATGTTTTGTGAATCTAATGTAGCTCGGCTGCTGTTCTATGTGGTGGAATTGTCCAACCAGGTTCAATTACTCGACTTGATGCGAGTTCTTGTATTTTTTGGATTTATTTATTTCATGATTTAATGTTGTTATTCTTTGTGATAAGGTGTGACTTCATCGATCTCGAAAAAAAAATCTTCTCTCCTAGACCTGGATTTTTTTCTTTCCTTTTCTTTTTTTTTGAGTAAAACTAAGATTTAGGTGCAGCCACACTTCAATTTAGTTACTATTAGATTATGTTGAGTTGACACTCAATGTATACTAGAGCTATAGTTATTATTTTGCTATAGTTTCAAAGTAAATTTTGTGTAACTCAAGAATTGGGTGAAAATCTTCTGGTCCGCTACGATCAACTTACACAGGATTTTAGAAGAGTTGCAGTGATCATGTTGCTGTTTCTAGATAGAATTGGTGTAGCTAAAAATCTTGGTGAAGAGATGGAATATTTCACTCCATTCTTGCAAAACATTTAATTTGGATGGGGAAGTACTCTAAAACATTCAGGTTTTTTTAACATGCTCATAAATTTTGGAAAATAATGTAGCAAAAATTTTATCTGCACATTTGCCCTGTTGTTTGCTGAAAAAACAAGTGACAGGTTGGTCAGAGTGCTCCAAATTTGAAAAAAAAACAAGCTGAAAATACGGATTATAAGTTCAGGCCAGATTCTGAAACAAATGACAGGTGGTCAGGTGCACAAATACACTTTTAGTTCAGGCTAGTAAAATATGTATATGAACTCATGTACTCCCTCTATCCCAAAATAAATACATATCCCACTCCTCAAGAAGTTAAACTTTTTTAAATTTAACTAGAAATATAGAATATAATATCAAAATTTGTATTTTTAAATAAGTTTATTATGAAAGTACTCCCTCCATCTTTAAAAAAGAGTCGCTATGAGAATCGTGGTGGTCAAACTTTCTCAACTTTAACTAGGTTTGTAGAAATGCATGCAACATTTATATCTTTAAATAAATTTATTATGAAAGTATGATACTAATTATGTACCATAAATATTAGTATTTTTTAAATATATTTGATTAAAGTTAAAAGTTGTTGACTTTTATGAAAACAAGAATAACTCTTTTTTAGTGACAGAGTTAAGAGGGAGTATACTCTATGCTCAATCTAATAATAGTTATTATATATTATAAATATTAATATATTTTTATATAAATTTAGTTAAATTTTAAAAAGCATGACTTCTCGTAAAACGTGCGTTTATTTTAGAAAGAGGAAGTATATATATATTCAGAAATCATTTTTTTTTCGTATATAGAATCTCGTCTGCTTTGTTCACCCGCCGCTGACAGCGCGAGTCCGTCCCCGTTAAGAAGCCCCGCCACCGCCACCATGCCACCATGCCCCAGAAGACACTCGAGTCCCAGACACGAACGACTCCTCGGGAGGGGAGAAGAGGCGGGCGGAGTGAGAAGCGCGCGACGAGTCGACACCATGGAAGAGAGGGTGCCACTTCTGCCGCATCACACGTTGCGGAACGGCGACGGACGGGAGGAGAAGTGCGTCGGCGGCTGCGGCGGCGTGAGGTGGTGGAGGGACCTGCTGGCGCGGGAGGCCGGCAAGGTCGGTTGCGTGGCCCTGCCGATGGCGGCCGTGAGCTTGTCGCAGTACGCGGCGCAGGTGGCGTCCAACATGATGGTCGGCCACCTCCCTGGCGTCCTCCCGCTCTCCGCCTCCGCCATCGCCACCTCCCTCGCCACCGTCTCCGGTTTCAGCCTCCTCGTACGTTTCACATTACGCACACCGTTCCTTCTCGTCTCCTTCGTGCTTAAATTTGTTATACAAGCGTTATACTGTCCTCATGTTAGTTGAGTTCACAATTCCTTCAGAATCCGTAACTACTGTAAATACATAATCTGAGAACGAGTTACGAACTTTTGAATTAGGTTGTCCTCAACTAGCGTATTTAGAAGGAATTGTATTCACAATTCCGTTCTATTGTAGCACGGTAGACCGTAGGGAACCTTGAAATTATACAGTGATTCTTCAAAATCGCATTGTATTTAGAAACTGGCATTCGAAATTTCAGATACAAGCTTTATAGCTTCTTTGATGAAAAAAGGCAAGTTATACTGGCTGCTGCCGAAATTGTTTGCATGCATGCATGGCAGGTTATTCCATCATGATTTCGTCAACTAAAATAAATCTTTGCAGAATGGTGGTACATGAAACATCCTTTTTCTTGCGAGGGGTACATCAAGCAACTTATGCTTCATTCAAGTATAAACTTGCTCTCCTTATCCAGCACTCCTGGCGTAACCTGGGGGCTGTTCGGCTGGTATTAAAGCTGGCTGATAAGCCGGCTGAAGTTGTTTTGTTGTGAGAGAAAAATACTGTAGATTCTAGCTGATAAGTCGACTGATAAGTTCAAGCGTGTATTTAGCACAACTACTAGCATCGTCTTCATTTTTTTTTTATCCTTGTGCGACAATCTTCTGATCTAAATTCTGATCTGATGAAACTGTTGCCAATATTATTGTTCTGCCTGTAAGCCAATATTACTGTTCTTCCCATAATTTAACTTTTGTGCTTCTAAAACAGATTGGGATGGCAAGTGGATTGGAAACTCTAAGCGGTCAAGCCTATGGGGGCAAAACAGTAGGACAGACTGGGGATGCACACCTATAGAGCTATAGTCACACTCATTGTTGTGAGCATTCCAATCTCACTTCTGTGGGCATTCATAGGCAAACTCCTGATCGTCATAGGTCAGGACCCCTTGGTTTCAAAGGAAGCTGGGAGATACATAGCCTGGCTGATTCCAGGTCTCTTTGCATACGCCATCAGCCAGCCTCTCACAAAATTTCTACAGTCTCAGAGTCTGATAATTCCTATGCTTTGGTCCTCCATTACAACTTTGCTCTTGCACATTCCTCTTTGTTGGTTATTAGTGTTCAAGACCAGTTTGGGGTATATTGGAGCTTCTTTGGCGATAAGCTTGTCATATTGGTTAAATGTGATTATGCTTGCTGCTTACATCAGATATTCGAATTCTTGTAAGGAGACCCGCTCACCTCCTATTGTTGAGGCTTTCAAAGGAGTTGGTGTGTTTCTACGCCTAGCTCTGCCATCTGCACTGATGTTGTGGTAAGTATAGTGATGTTCTTAAGCTTCTTTCTCTTCTTGTGTAAGATTCCATATTGGGTTAATGAATTCTATTCCACAATTTTATAGTTTCGAATGGTGGTCTTTTGAGATCCTTATTCTTGTCTCAGGGATTTTACCAAATCCAGAGCAGCAAACTTCAGTTCTTTCAATCTGGTAAGTACTTTCACATCTACAGTAACGTGCAGTTGCAGCACATTGCTTTTTTCTAAAAGTATTTGCATTCTCTTCATCAGTTTGACGACTATCACGTTAATGTATACTATACCTTATGGGCTTGGAGCGGCTGCAAGGTATGAAGAAGCTTAACCACTCCTAGATACTACTTCCATATCAATACAAAGCCACAATTAACTTCGTTTATGTTATCCAATGAGCAGCACTAGGGTAGCAAATGAATTGGGTGGTGATAACCCAGAAGGAGCTCGATCATCTGTTCGGGTTGTCATGTGTATTGCAGTGATGGAAGCAGTTATAATCACAATTATACTGTTAGCGTCACAGCACATCTTGGGCTATGCATATAGCAGCGATAAGGATGTTGTCGCGTATGTCAATGCAATGGTTCCCTTTGTGTGCGTCTCTGTTGCTGCTGACAGTCTACAAGGTGTTCTATCAGGTTACATCTCTTAACTTTCTTACATTGTTCATCTGTCTTTCTCTTCATCAAAAGAGTATAAAGGAAACGTATTTTCCTGCTTTTTGAACCTCGAAAAGACATCTTCCAGTTATACCTGTGAAGTTATGAAACAACTTGTTTTTGCTCTTTACACCAAATTACTACACCATTTACCCATAGTTTGATCTGCATATATCAATCTGCATGCTCTTCTCAATTTCGGTAACAAGCCCTGTCAGGTGGCAAGTGACCATTAATATTTTTGTCAGTCATGCCAATTTCATACCAGGTAAGATGCCGCTTCTGTTTTAACTTTGTTCCACGATACTAATGCTATTCTGTGGTGTGGAAGCAAAATTTTGTTACTCGGGGAGTTACTTGTTTGTTCCTTCAAAAATGGGCTCTTACGTGAACATGGATGCCGGTGTTTTCATCAACACACATCTAGCAGAGATGTTACCGTAAGCAGGCTCCACATCACTATGTATGCAAATTACAACCTTTCTCCTAGCTATTAGTGGAATTTCTGTCTGCTACATATTTTGGTTTACTTCTTCTTCTGAAGAGTGTTTGGGCACGTGAATAGCAATCTGAACTTAAAACTACACGCAAGAGTGTAGCTGTCATTTTGTAATGCTTGATGACTGACACCGCTGAACTTCACAACAGAAGCATTCTGATTGTTCATGCCTCTCTGTTCCTCTCAGGATACATTCGTGTTAAATGCTAACCCTTATAGTTTTGTGATCATCAGGTATCGCCCGAGGATGCGGGTGGCAACACTTGGGCGCCTATGTCAACCTGGGTTCGTTCTATCTCGTTGGGATTCCAACAGCACTCTTCCTCGGCTTTGTTCTGAAGATGGAAGCGAAAGGGCTTTGGATGGGCATTTCCTGCGGCTCCATAGTGCAGTTCTTACTTCTTGCCGTCATAACATTCTTCAGCAACTGGCAGAAGATGGTTTGTGCTTTCTATATACCTGTGCAAGTCTCTTTTTTTCCTCATCAACACTGAGCACTGAAAAAAAAAATGAATTGTAGCTTACTGACCTGTTTCCTTCTTTGCAGTCTGAGAAGGCAAGGGAGAGAGTTTTCAGCGATGAGCCGTCAGATAAGGAACCTTTGGAATCGGATGGATCAAATTTGTTCTAATTTTGGCACGAGTCATCTGATCACTTGAAAAGACGCAGCGGACCAGATCTTGTAGAGAAAGAAGCCCCTCTTGGAATAGGTTTATGCTGCCTTGCTTTCTGGTCTCTGAACTGAATGTACAGGGAACTCGCTGAACTCTGACCAGTGTTCTGTGTTCGTACTTGCTGTTGTTTGTTGAAACAATGGGACAATTGTATCAGAAACATAAGACATGATGATAATATGGTAGAGATAGCAACCACAGTTTTCAACTTTGCATGTCTTGGGTGTGTCGTCGTGCCTGCACTCGCCAAATTGGTTCTGAGATGGCAGCGGTGGACTACAGTTCATTCCTAGGGTTGAGGAGCTTAGGCGAAAGCCGTGCACGACCTGGTTGTACGATCGACAGCGACGCCCCTGAGCGCCGCTTACCACCTTGAGGCGTCGATGTAGCCTCCCCACCTTATAGCAGTAGCTTTGCCCCTCTCCTTTTGGTGAAAACCTAGCTCTAGTTATCTAGAGCCGGTGGTAGTGGTGTCAACGACGTCGCGTCCTTCTTGGAGGCACCACCGTGGAGGGCTACGTCAGACCTACCTCCCCTGGCTCCTTGTTTCCCTTCCTGGGTGAGACTAGCCCTGGCTGTCGGTCGTTGCCGATGTGTCGACGAGTGTCCTCCTCTGGTGTCTCTTCTTCGTCGGCGCTCTCCTTGATGGTGCCAGAAAATCAAATGCCGGGTGGTGTTTCCACCGCTGCCACCATTCCCCTTCATGGTTTCCTCCCCGTGGACGGCGTTGAATGGTGGTACGTGGGCCTGGATGTGTTGTAGGTGTCACCATCAGCTTCAAGGGAGGTCGCCGTGTCCGGTGATCTTGTGCTTGCGTGTCCGTCACCACTCTTAGTCCCCAATCCACTGTTGGTCCTCATATGGAGGGTGGCAGCGGAGCGGCGTAGCTACGAGGAGTGGTGCAGGGCACAATGGTCACGGTGTAACCGGCGAGTATGCTGTTCGGCGGTGGCGCAAATCGACAATCGGTTGGCGTCCTTCGGCTTGGGTCTAGGCTTATCCTTAAGTCATCGTGTTGGTTCTTCTTGTTTTTCTATTAAGTGTTGCTGTTGTAATCTCTCCCTCCCCCTTTGTACTTCTCTGGTCTTATTGTATCTGGATTGGCGCCATGCCCTTTCACCTCCCGGCTTGCTCGACATCTGTAGAACGAAAATTTAAGTAGGGATAGTTCATCCCCCGGTGACCTTTAAAAAAAAAACTTTGCATGTCTGTACCCTGCTTTTGTGTGACCCTAGTGTTGGTCCATTGTTTTCTGCGCCAGCAGCTCATTGTCGACTCACCATGCGCTCGGCGAAGGCAAACGCTTGTGGCAGTGCCTCAGAACGTCAGAATGGCGGCCGATGCAGGAGCTAACGTGCGTGCTCGGTGCTCCGCATGACATTGTAAGTGTGGATCATTAACTGAAGCAACAACAGATAACTCGACATTTAGGCAGATTTGCAGATAAACCAGTTGTGATCAGTTCTCTTCGTTAGGAAAAAACTGGGCGGAAAACAAACTTGTTCGCCAATTTTGTGACAATAAGGGCCTGTTTGCTAGGCATGAGTACTCGAGGAGAAACCACTTTTGATGGCTCCGGGTCCTGGCCTAAAAACGGCTCCGGCTCCTCTATTGTTCACCAGAAAATGGCTCATCTTCCTAAAAGTTGCTGCCGGAGCCGAACCATGGCAAACAAGCCCTAACATCTGGTGAACTTAAAAGTTCAAATCACCAGCATAAAATTACCACACAACAAAGGATTAAAATTTCAGAAAGGTATTCTGTTCCCAAATCATGATATCCCTCAAAAGGTGCTGAATGTAAATCATGAGCCACAACATGGTTACGTTGGGGCATTGGGCACCAATTCATATGATATCTTTGCAGAGATACAGAGGATAGATAAGGAGACTGGGGCTGGGGCATGACATCAACCAGAATACAGGCATACAGAAACATTTCCAACCACAAGTCCAGAAGTAGAACTACACATGCTGTAATACTCCAACTGTGCATGCTTTTTATCTCAATTTTGAAAATAATTTATTCCATATTTCCTGTTAGTGAAGGCTATTCCTCAACAGAATAAGAGGAAACACATGATGGCATGAATAGTTGAAGACCGTTGAGCCTCAAAATTTCAGTACCAGTGCCGCCGAGCCAAGCAGCATGCAGCATCAACCCTAAGAATAGAGAAGCGCATGGAGCTGGTGGACATGAAAAGGATGCAAACTAAGATTGTCAACAGCACCTGCACATAGCAACAGTCAACAGCTAAGTTGGATGCAGTAAGAAACGGTATGTGAATTCACAGAAACAAGATCAAAATGGTATCTATATGGGCAACTTTTTCTTAAACAACACTCTTATGAACAGTATAACTAACTAGGTCATTTTAACTCCACAACAAAATCTTCATAGCAAATAGCAATGAAATAATTCCTTTCCATCCCACAACATACATAATGATGAGTGATTGATACAATACCCTATAGCATAGCAGGATCACAGTTCATTTGATTAACGTGCTTGAAAACCTATTTGTGCTGTGCCACATCAATTTCCACAAGTTCATAGAGAAGAATTGTCCACAAGCCACTCATCCCTCCTTGCACTTAAAGTTGATCTGAAATGGAGCATAAATTTGCCGGATCTGACCATTGAAAAGGCTTGTTTTGATCAGTCCATAATGACCTTGGCGCCAACTGCCTTCATCTTCTCGACAATCGCCTCAGCCTCCTCCTTGGATACGCCGCCCTTGATCACCAACGGCGCCTTCTCCACCAGCTCCTTGGCCTCCTTCAGCCCAAGGTCAGTGAACGACCGGATCTCCTTGATCACCTTGATCTTGCTCGCCGCGTCGAACGCCTCCAGCCGCAGCTCGAAGACCGTCTTCTCGGCTGCCGCCGCCGCCTTCTCCCCTGCCGCGCCGGCCGTGGCGCCGCCGCCGCCGCCCAGCCCCGTGGCGGAGTTGAGGATGGCGATGGGTGGTGCGGAGGGGATGTCGATGCGACGGAGGAGCAGAGAGGAGAGAGCGGCGGTCTCCCCGAGGGTCAGGGAGGAGACCTCCTCGACGAGGCGCCACACGCGGTCGGACAATGCGCCAGTAAAACAGGAGATAAATACATTTCACAAGATTGTGCCAGCAAAATCTGAGTGTAAATCAATCAAAGTTTATATTCATTACTGGAAATGACAAATCGCAACTGCTACAGATCATCCGAGGAAAGAAACTGCGTCGGGGACAGAGATACCCAAAGCAACAAAGCAAAGCAAAGCAAGAAAGTTAGCGTCCTCAATGGTTCGAGACGTATTAAAAGGTCTCGTCCGATCCCAAGTCTTTTGAGTGTGGTTTCCATCTCGCCCAAGGTCGTGGGCTCCTTCTCGTCCGATCTCGAGAACGCGGGTTCCGTCTCATCCGACGGTGACCCATAAAGCCACCAACCACTCCAGGTCCAAGCGTATAGGCCTAGGTCAAAACTCTGATGTCAGGGAAGAGGCTGGCACGCCTTGATGTAACCCATAGCCATACCTGGGAATTCGCATCAAGAACAGTGTCGGGCGTGCCGGTGCTGTTCTGCCTAATCCTCATATGGACGCTGACAGGCGCGTCAGTTCACCACGACGTCCGCTGGAACGGAGTGGAACGGCATGACCGGCAGATGACGCCTGCGCATGGTGCCAGTGACGAATAGGGACGCGATATGGAACCGTCTCTGTTGACATCTACAGGATCGGCGGGACCCGCATGAAGGAGAAGGACCCGACAACCCTAGAAGCCTTCTCTCTCGTACTTCTTCTTTTTCTCCTCTATAACCCGCGCTTTCCCTTCGCCTATAACAGGGGAAGCAGGGCTCCCCATGAAAGTGGAGCTGGACACAAGAGCACGACACGAGCACACGGCTGAGCGGCAAGCGAGTTCTCAGCACCCGTTCACTCCTTCCACCAGAGAATTGGGATCCTCTCCCTCTCGCCTGTTTGTAACCCCTACTGCAAACCAAGTGCCAGTAACACGAGCAGCAACAGACTGGATGTAGGGACGTTTCGCCCGAACCAGTATAAACCCTTGTGTCCTCCGAGCACACCATCCGAGCTAGACGCGTAAATACAAATTTACTCGTCAGTGGTCCAAAAACACCGACAATTGGCGCGCCTGGTAGGGGCTTTTTGTGGGTTTCGACGTCTACATCAGGACTCGGATGGCTAGTCACGGCGTCAGCTAGGTCCGGCGCGCACGTGCGCTTCGGGAACCTAGACTTCATCGTTACGACGGAGGGAGAGTTGGCACAGGTTCTCGTTGTCGTCCAGCCTCTCCACTCCGCCGGCCTCGAAGCCATCGCCGAGGCGCTTGAGGAGCTGCAGCTGCACGCACCGGAGGCCCCCGCCCCCGGGAGCGACCAGCTCCTCGGCTTCGATTACGGGAGGCTACAGCGCCAGCTCGACGCCTTCCTAGGACCCCGACTATCCCGGGAGAACCTGCGCTGCCTCACCTTCTCATTCACCAACATCATGACGCAGCTTGCCGAAGGAGAGCCGTTCTCCTCGGAATACCTCATCTGGAGCACCCCGACAACGCTCCCGTTCGGTCTGCGCAACGCCATCGAGGCCGTTGGCCACCTTGTGATGCAGCGCACTCCCCCATCCCCTACGAACGACGAGCTCGTGGGGATGACCAAATACGTCACGGAATCTTTCCACGACCTTCTCGTGGGAGAATCGAAGTCGCCCTCCGACTCTGACTCCAACAGGGAAGCCATCACCCCTCGCGAGAATGTTTCATGGCAGGTACCCCCGAGGGATACATCGAAAGCGTCTATGAGGGAGGGGCTACCCCAATAGACGACCTCGACGACGAGGTCGAGGGGGATGCAGGAGCCCCACCTCACCTATGGGTAGAGCAGCTGAGGGCGCGGCACCAAGAGCTCGAAGAAGCATGACTTCAGCTCGAGCAGGAACGCGTGGAGCTCGAGCGAGAGATCGAGCGCCACAGAGAAGGTGGGCGTGCACGCGCCGTGGCCCGCGACGTGAACCGGAGGATCATCGAGGACGACGAAGCCCTCCCACACTTCACCCGGGCAAGCCAGAACATTGCTGCCGCGGTGGCCTTGCTCCGGGGGCTTCCGGAGCCTGCGACACCTGAGCATCGTTGGGCCCATCGTGAGATTCGCACGCTACTCGAGCGTGCGGCGGCACAGCAGGCCGAGAGCTCGCTGTCCCAACGACGCGAGCTCGACGCCAACTAGCGTGCGCCCTTAGAGCGACCCGATAGGGACGTGTCAGTCCACCAGGTGCAACAAGACGGCAGGCCGCGCGCCATGGCCTCGGTGTATGAGCGTCTCGGCCTCCACCGTGACGCGCGCAACACCCTCGATGTCCGCAGGTGTGCCCGCGGCGATGAGAGGGAGGAGGCTAGCCACGGCTACCACCCTTGTCGTGGCGGACGCTACAACAGCGGTGAGGACCAAAGCCCGAGCCCCGACTTGCCGGACCTTAGGCCTTTGGCCGACACATCCTCAACGCCGTCTTCCCACCGCGGTATCGACCGCCGACCAACATCCTAAAATACTCTAGGGAAACAAACCTCGGACTGTGGCTCAAGGATTATCGGCTTACTTGCCAAGCCGATGGAGCGGATAGTGATAATTTCATTATCCGCAACCTTCCATTGTTCCTGGCCGATTCGGCGCGAACGTGGTTGGAACACCTTCCGTCCAACTAAATCTAATGTTGGGCGGACCTAAAAGAGATCTTCGTAGGAAACTTTCAGGGCACATACGCGTGTCCTGGGAACCCATGGGTTCTCAAAAACTACCGACAAAAGTCCAGAGAAACTCTTCGTGGGTACATCCGGCGCTTCTCCCGGCAGTGCAACGAGCTGCCCGAAGTCACCGACGCCGATGTCATAGGAGCTTTTCTGTCTAGGACCACCTGCGAGTCCCTGGTTCACAAGTTAGAACGTAAGGGCCCATGAACCACCAAGGAGCTCCTCGACATCGCCACCAGCCACGCCTCGGATGAGGAGGCGATCGGGGTGATTTTCGACCGCCCCAAGGGCAAGGCAAAGCGGGACGAGGACGCCGACGAAGGCGCCTCCAACCGCACCAACAAGAAGAAGAACAAGCAACAGCGCGAGGGCTCACTCGTGGCCACTGCCGACCACAAGGGGGGTCAGAAGCCCGCCGAGGGTACCCCGGACCACTTCAAGAAGCTGCTCAAAGGGCCATGCCTGAACCATGCTTTCCTCGTCAAGCATCTATACAAAGATTGCGTCCTCATGAAGCGGTTCTTGTTCGGAGGCTCCAATAAGGGGGGCATAGGAAGGAGCCCAAGCCATCCGCAAACGACGCCAAGGGGAAGGACGATGAATTTTCGATGCTAGATGGCTGCCTCATGGTCTTTGGAGGGTCGGCGGTCTATGACTCCAAGCGCCGCTAGAAGATTGCGCGCCACGAGGTCTATATGGCCGAGCCGATCACGCCTTCCTTCCTCTGATGGTCGGAGTCTGCCATAACCTTTGATCGGACCAACCACCCGAAAAGCGTCCCGCAACCGGGAAGATACCCGCTCATGGTCGACCCAATCATCGGCACGAAGCGGCTCACCAAGGTGCTGATGGATGGAGGTAGCAGCCTCAACATCATGTACGCTGAAATGCTTCGACGCCATGGGCATCGACCGATCGCACATCCAGCAGACCGAGGTGCCTTTCCATGGCATCGTGCCTGGAAAGCAGGCCATGCCACTTGGGCAGATTGATCTGCCCATCACCTTTAGGAATCTGACCAATTATAGGACGGAGACCCTTACCTTCGAGGTGGTCGGGTTCCACGAGACCTACCCCGCCATCCTGGGACGTCCATGCTACATGAAGTTCATGGCCATCCCCAACGACACCTATCTGAAGTTGAAGATGCTAGGTCCATGCGGGGTCATCGGCACCTCCTTCTAGTGCGCCTATGAGTGCGGGTCGAGTGCTGCGAACACGTCGTGGCAATTGTCGCCTCCAAAGAGCTTGCGTCCATCAGGGAGGAGGTTGTCAAAGAAGTGCCCGACCCCAAGCGGTCGGACAGGTCTTTCGAGCCTGTAGTGGGCGCCAAGGAGGTCCTCATAGACCCTAGTGGCTCCGAGGGCAAAGTGGTGCGCATCGGCACCACGCTTTCCTTCAAATAGGAAAGCACGCTCGTCGACTTCTTCCGCGCCAATAGAGACATCTTTGCGTGGAGACCCTCGAACATGCCAGGCATTCTGAGAGAAGTCGCCGAGCATGCCTTGAAGATCCAGCCAGGCTCCAAGCCGGTGAAGCAGCGCCTGTGTCGCTTCGACAAGGAGAAACGTAGGGCCATCGGTGAGGAGATTGCAAAGCTTTTGGCAGCTGGGTTCATCAAGGAAGTATACCATCCCGAGTGGTTAGCCAATCCCGTTCTTGTACGAAAAAAGAGTGGGAAATGAAGAATGTGTGTTGACTACACGGGTCTCAACAAAGCGTGTCCAAAGGATCCATTTCCTTTGCCACGATAGACCAAGTAGTCGACTCGACCTCAGGGTGAGAAACCCTTTGCTTCCTTGATGCGTACTCGGGTACCATCAAATCGCGATGAAAGAGTCCGACAGCCTGCGACATCTTTCATCACCCCATTTAGATCGTTCTGCTACGTAACAATGCAGTTCGGCCTGAAGAACGCTGGGGCTATGTACCAACACTGCATGCTTAAGTGTTTTGGGGATCTCATCGGGTGGACCGTTGAGGCCTACGTCGACGACATCATGGTCAAATCCAAACCGACTGACCAGGTCATAGCCGACCTAGAGCAGACCTTCGCAAAACTCCGAGCAAATGGTATCAAACTCAACCCCGAGAAGTGCGTTTTCGGGGTCCCAAGGGGTATGCTGCTAGGTTTTATCATCTCCAAGCACGACATCGAAACCGACCCGGAGAAGATCTCTGCCATCACGAGGACGGGCCCGATCCGAACATAAAGGGGGTACAGCGAGTTACGGGGTGCCTCACCGTGCTAAGCCGCTTTATCTCACGCCTCGGCGAATGAGGTCTCCCCCTCTATCGGCTTCTA